GAGTCAAATTTCTGACTCGACTCATGAGTCAAGCACAACCCTGATTTCCACTCAAAATATTGTTATTAGGGAGAACTCAACAGACACTTATAATTACATAGGCACAGTCTCGTGAGAGCTGCATTGGAGTCGTGTGATAGCTTTTCTGCGTATTTAGCAACAGCGCTGCTCAACGTTCACACACTGAGCGCGTCATCCAATCAAGAAATGACTGAAAATAGGATACAAACGACACCATAGCGTCTGCTTTCTTCAGTCTTAGCAAGAAGCTTAGCGCTGATGTTTTGAGAGGACCTTGCGAGAACCAGAACCAATCGGCATCAATTCTGCTGGTATTTTCAAGGTATTTTGTCTCGCAGCTCATGTTTGAAAAGCTTGTTTTGCTTTTCTTTTCTGTACGTTGCTAGCGAGAGGATACTCATTTGGTTACATATACGCCACACCCACCACAATCAGTACGTTTCAGCCCTTCTATGTAAACGAAAAAAAAAACTTCTTACGAAAAATCTACCGTCATTCCTGGCACCTGGTTAACGGTTGACAATGGGCGATGGCACCGCCGTGCCACGGTCACCAGGAGACCGCCGTGGTCACCGGACAGTCTTCAGACTGGCTGTCGCCTGTCGCCGCGTCGGCAACACCGCCACATTAGCAGTTGTCTTCGGCGGCGCTACATATGCGTCTCAGGCATGCAACGCTTTGTCGCGCCGCCGCTATGGCCGCTCGTAACCAATCGCGCCGGATGGGGGCCGTAATGGAAGCACGACGACCGTGCCGACCGAGCAGGGGGTGGGTGGGCTGCAGAGAGGCCCGTAGTCTGGCAAGGTAGGACTAGGTTGGACGTGAATGGACAGGGTTTATGGGATATGTAGAAGGATGTCTCAGCTGCTCTGCGGGCCGGAGCTCGCTGTGAATCAGCGGAGGCGTAGGGGATCCATGAGGACAAAGGGTCTTTAGACTGCAGCTTTCCTGAGATTCGTTGTGAACCAGTATGTGTTCACGGGGCTAGGGAAATGATGGGGTCGTTCTGCAGCCGTCCATGGGACTGGGGATCTCAGCGAGCCGGCAGGGCTCATTGCTAAGGGAGTTGTCCGCAGCTGTCCCTAGCCTGAGGTTCGCCGTGAACCGCTGACCGCAGTCGTCCCCAGGCCGCGGTTTGACGTTGGCGGCGCTAAGCTCGTGCCCGTCGTTTGTCAGCGTATTGACCCCGGCTGTCGTGGGATTACAGTATCAATATGACTGTAATTAGTTAATTACAGCCATCCGAGCCGGCCCGGTGCAGTGGCTCCATGTGTGCGTGAAAATGGGACCCTCAGTGCGCATGCCCCAAACGGTAATGGACGAGAGAGTATGAGGGTCCGCTGGGCACTGGAATGGCTGTCCTCCGGCTCACCTTCGCGGAAAAGGTTGCTTGATGATAAAACCTGGCTTGGTTTAAAGCGTGTAGGCATAGCACTAACTAATGAAGACTGGTAAAGGTCGTTCAGAGGTATTAAATGTCGGCAAATTTGAAACGAAGTAATGACTTTTCGTGATAAATAAAGGTGCGGTAGCAAATAGCCACAATTATTCCCAAGTACACCAGCCGCATGCTGCAATTCTGTCGGCTCGACAACATAATGAGTACTGAGTAGACTCCTTTCCTTTGTATGTGTCGAACTTCTAGAACATTTATTAACGTTAAAGATTGCATTATGACCGAGACATCATAGGCGGCGGAACGGGGAGGGCACCAGGGTACCGTGCCCCCTTCGATTTTGGCATTTTAACATTAGCCCTACGGGCGTTGCATGGAAAGAATGGGACCAAAAGTCGGCAGTGTCCCCCTTAATTGAAGGTGTTCCGCCGCTACTGCGTGACATGTAACATATTCGTTTGTCAAACAATAGGTACATATTGCATTACATCACATTTGATCTAACAGCAACACCACATCTTGGCGAAAGAAAATCGCTCGGCGAGGCACGCTGCGAGGCGTGAGGCACAAAACGCTTTTGTTAATTCCCTTATATTTGTCAGACAAGTACAACTTACCGGAGCGGCCCGGCTCCACATCAGCGATGCCATTTCACATTTGTTCTTATATGACCTAAGAACGATGTTTTTTTTTCATTTCTTATATGATCTAAGCCATCACTCATCGTTTCTTGGGCTTACTTCTATCTATTTCTTCAATCTAACGAAAATATGCAACATTTTCGTGAGTGTCATAAATGAATAGGTTGATCCTAAGTTACGCTACTGTTATTTCGTGGATAAGAATGCGATGCAAGGTAGGACTTGCTAAGGGTAAATGAGATAATTACTCGTAACGGGAAACATGAGCCGACTTATCTCCCATAGTGAGGTAGCCTGAAGGTGCAACAAGCTGAAGGTGGTGTAAAAATCTGCCCCCGCCATTCCATGATCCTGTTGAGGCTCCACAGCGCCATTGACCGAAGAATCGCGAATGCAGTTTAATTTAAGAAATGATGACATTGGTGCCTTATATTCCATTTTGCTATGATAAATAAGTAAGAGTGATATTCAAACTTACATTTTCTTCCAGTATACGAGTATTGACATCAGGAGCCCCTGTGTGTGGCCCGGGCCAGGCCGGCTCGAGCGGCCCCACCCGGCCCGAACCAGCCATTACCTTGCTTCTTACGCACGAGAGAAAAGAAAAATACAGCCACTTCAGCGTTTGACAAGTAGTCATCACTGATTGGAAGCTACATAGCACACCGCTCATGCCATTACTGCTAACCCAAGAGATAATGATGTGTGTTGAGCACGGATGGCGGATAGTGTGTAAAGGATATCCGGCGTCGGAAATGATGTGTAGAATTTCAGCTTCAGCTGTGATTGCAGTTTTGATCACTGCGATTTCTCGGATATAAATGGTATAATTCGTATTGGTTTCGGGCTACACTGAGGTAAAAAAATAATCGTTAAAAACCCAAATATTTCGGCTTTATTGTGTTGCCTTATTGAATGGTTTGAAATATGAAAATACACAAATACGAATGATACAGAACCATATTTCAGATATGGTCCCAGTAAACATGACGACGTCGGCCCGACGTCGGGCCGAGGCTCGGCCCGACGTCGGCCCAACGTCGGTTCAACCTCGGCCCGACATCGGCTGGACGTTGGATATGCCCGCATGTTCCGACGTCCAGCCGAAGTCCAGCCGACGTCGAGCCGACGTCGGGCCGAGATTGTTTGCCGAGGTTGACGAGATCGTTTGTCGTTGGACCGACGGGGCCGACGTCGGCATGTTTATTGGGACAACGCGCCCAAAATATCAACCGGCGGCGGGATTCGAGCCCCCCAGTCGCCGACATCGGCATGTTTACTGGGACAACACGCCAAAAGCATCAGCCGGCGATGGGATTCGAACCCCCTGTCATTCGAACGCGAGGTTAGTGCGCAAACCACTACACCACGCAGCCAGCTAACGAATTTAGTTTGTTTTGTTGGGTTATGTCCTTTCGGTCTGACAAGACCATTTCAGAGCCGGAAGGATCATAGGATGGAGACATTGGTCTTCTTGGCGAGCACCCGGGTCCAGTTCATATAGAGTCCCTGGTCCCATTGCTGTTACGTGACACTTATTGGAGGGCGACCCCACAATGGATTCATATAGCCACTCTTACACACCTGCACCAACGTTTCCCAAAGTGTCCCTTTGATAAGTGGCACTTTGGCAAAGTGACACTTGCCGACTGGCCTTTCTATATGAACTGGGCCCGGCCCTGGTGAGTTGCCGGGGCTGAGCCTGACCAAAGGATAGGCCGAGTAGCCCCCAATCACTCACCGCACCCGGCTACGGGCGAGCTCGGCTTACGGGCAATCCCAAATGGGATAAAGTTTCCCGTCCAGGATCCGCATCAGGGGGTTGCGGCGTGGAGGAAGATTTGAGTTTCCTGAGGATATTTTGAATACCGACTGGCCACTGGGACAACACAGCTCTTTATGAAACATGAAACATGTATTTTGTATTATTTTAACGGTCAAAACAGCGGCCGATGTCGGTCCGATGTCGCCCCGACGTCGGCCCGACGTTGGCTGGACCTCAGCAATTGATCTCGGTCCGACGTCGGCCCGACGTCGGCTGGACCTCGGCTGGACGTCGGAACATGCGGGCATATCCGACATCCAGCCGACGTCGTGCCGAGGTTGGACCGACGTCGGGCCGACGTCGGCATGCCGATGCCGAGTTGCCGACGTCACCCCGACGTCGGCCGACGTCGGGCCGACGTCGGCATGTTTACTGGGGTTACATATCTGAAATATGAAAATATAAAAATACCATACAAAATCATATTTCATATTTCAAACCAGTGAACAAGGCAACTCAATAAAAACAAAATATTTGGTTTTAACAATTTTTCCTCAGTGTAGCCCGAAGCTAATACAAATTATAGTAAATTACCTCTTCTCTGCCTCAGCGATTCCGTATCTCCCACAAGAGCACCAACACAGACCATAACCAAGAGACGCGCGGCGAGAAGTAAGCTGCAGACTGCAGTGGAGATAGCGGTAACAGCATTAGGACTGTTCTCTTGATGGGAGATGGTTGAACAGCTCTTCTTTGTGTGGGTGCGATCAAGGTGGGGTAGGTGATCCCACAACGAGATACCTACACCAGCACACTCTTGGTCTGTCTTTTTAGGGAGTGTCCTATGATTCACCGAGATGAATCCCAGATAAGAGCACGTCCTCGTCTTCACCAAAGGCATGACCGGCAGCAGTCGGACAAGAAGAACAGCATAAACGTCTGCAATACAGTCGGCCTCGGAGAGCGAGCTAAGCTAGTTGGCAGGGCCAGGGATATCTTCCTCCGCGTGTCAGGAGAGAACGTGGGGAGGCACTGCAAGGCAGCTGAGGGTACGGGTTAACTGACTCCAAGGGACAACTGAGGGAATGTCAGACCTATGGAAGAAATGAGTGCGTAGACTGGCCCCACAGAGCAAACATGAAATGACCCCGCTGGTCAGCCGGGAGCGCGCACCCACCTGGCAGGCAGCAGAGCGACGCGAGCAGCACCGAGAGCACCACCATGTCGCCGGCGCACGGACAGATCACCGTCACCCACTGGAGACCGGCGCGGCGGCGGCGGCGGCGGCGGCGGCGGCGGCAGCGCGGCCGGCGCGGCCCTCCGGAGCCGACGCGACTGCGCGCCCCGCCCGCGACCGCCCGCGACCGCCCGCTGAGGTATCGCTTATCATCGGCTTTGCTTTACACGTACTTACTAAAGAAATCGCCTCATTTTATGTCCGCTTTATCTAGTCTGTCTTCTAAACACCGTCACCTTGCCATCTTTACCGTTGATAACCACTAATTTCTAGAGATGACTGCTACGAGAGCATACCTTTACCTACGCTGGATATAACACGGGATATTTTTGGATAAGCCAGGTGTTATGGAGGATAATCAAGGACGCAGAAAAATGAGCGACGACTCGCCTCCTCAGTCCTCACTCCTCGGCGTGAGCGGGCAGTGCGAGACGTGAGGCGCATGAGGGGCAAGGTAAATCAGCGCTGATGGGGCGGGACGCTGCTCCTAATCACCCGGTACTGACATTACGTTGAGGGGGAGTGTCCAATGCAGGCAGACATACAAAACACTCTTATGGGAGCGTCAGTGCAGCGGTCTGCATGAACTTATTGGCAAACGTGAATAAGTTCGTACATTGTGCATGCACATTTACTCCACATGTTAATATTTATCTGGGGTGAAATTAATCATTCCAAGTGTTCTTTTTTCTATTCACGGTGACGGTCTTAGCATTCAGGAGCTTCTTTTTTCAATGTCGTGACTGGCGAATCCGGGGAGGAGGCTTTGAGGCAAATACCACCGCAGCGCCCAAAATCGACGAAAATCTGCGCTTTTTTCAGGAATAAAACGTAATTTAACTACTTTTATTATGAGAAGTTTGCATTAAACTGCACAGCAGTGCGCGTGGAATCGAAATACGATGAATTTTTGGATTTTGGATATTTTTTTTGGCGTATGAATTTCCCCGCAGCGTCCAAGCCCGCCTTTCTAGATCCGCCAGTTAAGATCAAGAAGATTCTAGTTCTAACAAAAGCACTGTTACCAGAATGGATTTGGTTTTTAGAGACAAGCTCATGTCTTAATTTGCGCATTGCAACTACGTATTTTATGTTACACCAATGAAGACCCATGCCATTCACCACGCGGTACGTCAACGGTATGAAAAAATCCTAGATTAGAGATGGTTTAGAGTCAAGTGATTTTTAATTCGTTTCCGCAGTGATCACCTTCGACTTAGTTACAATCGTTATACTGGTAACCAAAGCCATGACTACCCTGACTGACTGGCTAAGAGGGTGCGCCACCACTTTTGTTTTGGTGGTTCCACCGCGAGGGTGAAGGTCTGTGAACCATCCGACCAATTCAGACTCCCGCACTGGAGATCAGTTTTCTGGCGGTGTGCTGCGGCTAATTGACTGGCGGGATTGGCCGGCCTGGCGAAACGTGTGCTTCCTATCCTTGCCTCCCTCCCTCCCTATCTAACTCTCTCTCTTTCTCTCACTCCCTCCCTCCCTCTCTCTCTCTCTCTCTCTCTCTGTCTCTGTCTCTGTCTCTGTCTCTGTCTCTGTCTCTGTCGTCTCCGTCTCCGTCTCTGTCTCTGTCTCTGTCTCTGTCTCTATCTCTGTCTCTGTCTCTGTCTCTGTCTCTCTCTCTCTCTCTCTCTCTCTCTCTCTCTCTCTCTCTCTCTCTCTCTCTCTCTCTCTCTCTCTCACACACACACTCTCTGTCTCTGTCTCTGTCTGTCTGTCTGTCTGTCTGTCTGTCCGTCTCTCTTTCTCTCTCTCTCTCTCTCTCTCTCTCTCTCTCTCTCTCTCTCTCTCTCTCTCTCTCTCTCTCTCTCTCTCTCTCTCGTACCAATCTCCCCCTCTCTTTCGCTCTCTCCTTCCTCTCCCTCATCCTCCCCCCTCTCTCTCTCTCCCTATCCCTCTCCTCTCTCTCCTGCCGCCGTCGTCGCGCTCCGTCGCCATCGATGGGCTCGTTGGGCGCGGCTGACCGGTCACGGCGGTGCTGTGCGTTCTGGGCACGTGCCAAACATTTGGCCAGATTACCAACATAAATAAATTTCGATTCAATAAGACAACAGACTGGCAGGAGCTTTGTATTCGTCGCGAGTCTCCGTCTCCCGGTCCGGAGAATTTCCGCGTTTCTCGGGGACGGACACCGGTTGAGCGGTTCTGCGCGCTGCAGCAGTTTAGATCTGTGCCAGGGCGGCCCGGGAGATACGATCAACCGTCACCAAAATATTGATGGGTCAACTGATGATCTAGAATAAAAGCGATAGCTTGGAGGCTGGATGGACTGACGCCGTTGAAGTTGTTCCTCTTGGTGACGTTCATGACTTGGTGAACCTGCTGCTAAATTATACAAAAATGTTGAGTGAATTGTCCTAACACGCAATGAGATGCATTCATATCTGGTATGTCAGCTCCCAAGCATAGGCGCGGGAGCCGGGGGGGCAGTGGGGGCAGCTTGCCCCCCCCAACTCTGGGGCCGTGGGGGCGGTGCCCCCACAGCTTTGAGACGGAATACCACACTTGTTTTGCAAATGTTTTCTTTTTTTGTTGAAAAAGCCGAGGGGTGAAAAATAAGTGGCCTAAAACCGGTGAGAAAACTAGATTTGGGGGTACCCTAGGTTAATCTCTATAATGGTGTGCCCCCCCAGTCGGAGAGTAGTTCCCGCGCCCCTGCTCCCAAGTAATCTATCGTATAACAGCACTAGACTTATTGTAATTATAGCCGCACCGCCCGCGCCGAGCTGTTCATCGACGCGCTCACTACATGCGAGGCGGAGCAATCGGTGACGGCTCCGACGCGTGGCGGCAATTTTCTGGACCTTGTGGTGACTCGTGGTGGCGCGGCCCACTCCCGGGTCCGTGATAAGATCTTCGACGCTGACCACGAGGCGGTAGAAACTCGGTTCACGGTGGATCTGGGTGTCCCGCCCCGGGTGACCAGGACCAGAGTGTACAACTACAAGCGTGCGGACTTTGCTGCTCTGCGGCAGTCGCTGAGACTGCTTCCGTGGAGTGTGCTGTGGGATTTTAATGTGAACGATGCGACAATGATGTTCTACGATCTTACTTTTGCCGCTATTCAGGACTTTGTACCTTTGGTAGAGCTGCGTAGAAAGTACCCACCCTGGTATGATAGGACTGTTCGTGACCTCCTTAAACGTAAGGAGATGGCTCAAAAGCGTAAGAAAGTCAGTCCGACTGAAGAGAACATTCGGGCCCACTCCGCTGCCAGAGCTGATTTCAAGCGACAGGCCGATCAAAGCTACCGCTCATACCTACTAGGGTTAATACGAGAGTTTAAAGACAACCCGAAACGACACTGGTCTTTTGTAAAATCACTGAAGTCACATGCATCGGCGTCTCCTGTGCTCGAGTGGGGCGGGCGGGTCGCGACGGATGTGTTCGCTCGCGCTAACATATTTAATGCCTGTTTTGCAACTAAATTCAGTGCCCCGCACGCGGGTCCGCTGCCCGAGCCGCCGGTTCTAAACGCCCCAGGCCTCTCTGCTTTTGAAGTGCCAGCGGGCCGCGTAGCTCAGCTGCTGCGCCAGCTCAGCCCACACAAGGCGTGTGGACCGGACGGACTAAGTGCTAGGATTATGCGTGAATGTGCGGATGAGCTTGCGGTCCCTCTTGAGATCATATGTAAACTGTCAGTGAGATCCGGAGTGTTTCCGACGACGTGGAAGCGGGCTAATGTGATTCCGGTATTCAAAAAGGGTTCCAAAAAACTCCCAGAAAACTACCGACCAGTCTCACTTTTGGCAATCAGTTCTAAAATCTTGGAAAAAGTTGTGTGTGAGGGCTTACTTCGTGCATGTCTGCCCTTTCTTCCAGACTCCCAACATGGGTTTCTTCCAAAACGTTCTTGCGTGACAAATCTGGCATGTTTTATGGATCACTGTTGGGTCTCACTGACAAAGGGCATGCAAACCGATACGATCTACACCGATTACTCTTCTGCTTTTACAAGTGTTAGTCATAGGCTACTTTTACACAAGCTTAGGCACTCTTTTAATATCACCGGTTTTGCATATAGCTGGATTGATTCTTACCTCAGCCACCGCTATCAGCGGGTCATTCTGGATGGCAAGCACTCGGACTGGATCCCTGTGCAATCTGGTGTTCCGGAAGGCAGCATTCTCGGTCCGATTCTCTTCACATGCTATGTAGCTGACCTTCCATCTCAACTTCAGACCAGCTCACTGTCATATGCTGATGATGTCAAAATTTTCCACAGAATTCAATGTCCAGCGGACGTCAACTCTCTTCAGGCTGATCTAAGCCGTCTTAGTGACTGGTCAAAAACATGGCATCTTAGGCTCAATCCGGCTAAATGCAAGACCATCACCTTTACTTTACGTACATCTCCCATCGCATCATCATACTTTTTAGATGGTCACGAACTCGAGCGGTGTACGGAGATCAGAGATCTGGGTGTGATCCTGGACTCCAGGCTAACATTTGGCGCGCATGTTGACGCCTGTGTGAGCAAGGCCAACCGCATGCTAGGTCTACTTATGCGCAGCATGCAGGTCTCACACCGTACCCGGCTGCCGTACTTCGATCACCGGGCAGTCATGGCGGCGTACAATGCCCATGTCAGATTGGTTGTGGAATACGCGAGTGTCGTCTGGAGTGGCGCAGCACCTACTCACCTTGCGAGATTGGAGAGACTGCAACACCGTTACCTGATGTGGTTAGGCGCCAAGACACATAGCCGGTGCTCGATGGACTATGAGTCTCTCCTCCAACATTTTCACTGTATGTCCATCAAAGCTAGACTTGTTCAGACCGACCTGAAGTTCATACGCTCTGTGTTTGCCGGCCGACTGGACTGTGGGCTACTTGTGACTATGTTTTCGCTGCGTGTTCCTGGCCGGCGCTCTAGGCAGACGGGCTTGTTCAACGTACCTTTTGGACGGGTTGATACGGTGAAGAACGGCCTCGGCGTACGAGTCCCGAAACAAGTGAATGAGTTCCTGAACAAATATCCAGACGAGGATTTCTTTCAGCCTAGTCTCCACTGCACCGCGCGCATCCGTGCCTACGCACGAGGCCTTGGTAC